ACTGTCATTTATTTAGTAACTGTGATTTGTCGTTTTTTTTAATTATTTTATAGTGATCACTATGGTCTGATGTTTAGAATGTCAAAATATGTTCTCTTTTATTTTAATTTTGAAAGTTTTACTCAGACGATCGATGAAATAGTGACGTGCCTAGTAACCTGCTAAATAACGAGATAACTCCAACGTCAAATTCTATTTTGTCCAGCGACAGTGTACAAACGTGCGCCGCTGACGATCACGGTGACCAGCAACACCAGAACGAACATATTTCGCATCTAACTCAACCCCATGCAACAAAAATTGATAGTATGTGTTCATTATGGCCCATTCCTCCTCGACGAACAAGTACATAAGTGAAAATTTAGTCGAAGACGAGAAAACTGCAGAAGAAATTTGCCTTATTTACACGTATCTGCAATGCAAGCTGCCATGCGACTTCCCCTTCTGACGTCACAAGGGGAATTTCTGTATGCAAATAAGAAGCTAATGAGGAGTCTCGTTTTAAAATACACAAAAATAAAGTTGCCGCAGATTGAGTTTAAAACATATTTTTTCACTTAAAAAAATAATTCATGTTTAGAAACATAAAAAAATAATAATATTTATGTATCAATGGATAATTTTAGGCGTGAAAATAGCAGCCATTTCACAGGCACTTTAAATAAGCAAACTATTTTTTTTTAATTTGCCCTGTGCATGTCTGATAAAATGGAAGTAATGGCAGAACAGCAAATGTTGCAGTTTTCTTAGAATTCAGTGGAATGTATACCAAGAATTGTATTTATTGTGGGAGGATAAATATTCACAAGGTTTAATTTTAGCAGATTCAATGTTGCTGAGATATTTAGTAGGTTTGAAATTGATTAGTTTGTGAATGAAACAATAAATTCTGTTGTTAACTTTGCATAATCTCTAGGTTTTAATGTAGCATGCTAGTATTTAGCTATACATGTATTGGTGAAATAAGGTGAAAATAAAACCCAGTTGACAATAAAGCATGATGAAGTAACTCAAAACTATATTACCGGTAACTACACAAACTAACGATCAAAAGATCGATGTCGGATAAAAAACTTATTTGCTTTAGTATGGAGGTGGGGGTTGGGGGTTGGATGTTGACCTCAAAAAGTATCCATCCTACAAAAACGATTTTATGTTTTAATGAAGTCAAAAAAATCTTGAAGTATATGTAGTTTTTTTTCTTTCTATCTAATCATGAACAGAAATAACAGAAAATGAAAAAAACAACATCCAAGACAGGAAAATTGTTTGGCCCGAGTGTAAATATGTGTGTCAAATGAGGCGCATTTGTAAAGTCTTTTTACACCCACCCGACAACCAACTGCTATGCCATACTACTGTCCGATTATTGTATTTAATGGTGAATGTAGTTGGACGCCATGATCAATATTTATCAATTAAGTTTCAGTGGCAGGGGGGGGGGGGGGGCTAAAAGGAATTAAGTTTTTTATCCTACATTGAACTTTTGATGTTGTCCCTAACATGAACACAGTAACAATTGATTTCATAACAAGCTGTGAGCCCGGGCAGGTTGATTGTTACAATATTCAACAAACTTAAATGATATAAAAAAAAATAAACTTTTTAAAGTTAAAATTCCATGCTGCTAAGAATGACATGGCCTCCGAGATAAATGTTTGGTTTGTGTATTTATGAGCAGACTAATGGGCCCCTTCCTCTGATAACAAAGTTCAAAGAACAAGCAG